CTTTACACCTGCCCCGGCCTTTACGGTGCAACTCACTCGGTAATGGCAGGGACCTTCCTAACATACCTCAACTTTCAAAGTCTTAGGGAGGTTTCGCCTACATGCTTTTCTCCCCTCACCCAACCATTTTCCTTAAATATTCTGGGGGGGGGCACGCTAGGAGAGAGGCTTCGGGGAAAGTGAAATCACTCGCGCTCAGGCTTTTCGGGGGTATCGAAGGCCATATATCTACCGAGTTACTTTTGTCGGAACTCATATCTAGGTTTTGTGTAGGTAGAAATGCGGGTTTATGTCTTATTTATGCACAGTATGTCGGTCCTATATGGAATTTATGATTACTTTTATATCATGTAACTAGGTGCAGCTTACCACTACTAGATAGTAATTAACTTAGCCGTTAACCATCTTCGGCGAAAAATTGTATCTTGGCGCCGGGGAATACCATGACCCTGAGTGGGGAGTAAAAGGAGTTTAGGGAAAGGGAAAGGAATGCAATCAGACTTTTTTTCTAAGGGGCTGGGGCGCTATTGCTTGCCAAGTGTGGGCACAGGAGCAATGCTTGATCCCCATAGTTGGAGGTGGAGTATGCTAACGCCCTTGGTCATTAGGATGCGATTTGGGAGGGTTGCTTTAAGGAACGCCTCTCACTCCTTCTTCGTACTAAGTGCGATGATCGTGGGTGACGATCGAATTATACAGTACAAAGAGCGGTGGGGTGGCTGAAGGCTTGACTGGAGTACTGCAAGGATGTCTTGTGCTTGTGATATTATGGATAGGTATGGGTTCGAGAAGGAAGAACCCTTTTGTCCTTTGCCTATTCCGGGGTGTAGCCGCAGAGCGATCTGAATATGGGCCATCCGGTTGATGGACAATTACCGGCCCTGTTTTTCAGCTTTGTAAGAAAAAACTCAGTCTACTAGTGGACGGTTATGTAGCTAATTTCACTGTTTTCAACAACTAAATTTCTTCTATAATCCCATACTTGTGTGTACGAAAATTTCAGTTTATCTCCAGAGGCATCTTGAATAGATACCGGATTGCATAAAATGACTGTGGCTCCTATATTTCAACCATAGGTGTCTATATTGGAAGAACTACCCCCCAAATTATTGCACCTAACAGAGACCATTGCCAGAAGCCTTAACCACCGAGATCTCTCATTTATGAAGTGACCTTCCAATGGGCAAGGGTGGGGGGTTGAAGAATGGGCATAGCCACTAGCCAAAATTGTCGTGATCGGAGACATATCTGCTCACTGGTTCATTTGCTATACGGACAGTCTACACTCCTAACCCTCCCATACTACATCGAAAAAAAACAATGTGCCCTCTTAAAAAAAAGAATTTCTTACCAAGCAATTACTTTGTAGTATGGTTCCGGAAGACTAGTGCCAGGACCAGCTTTTTCATAAAAACTGTGACAGTGATTGATGTGACTGAAACTGTAATGCTGGTTAAGAGACCAAGTAATAACATAAAAATTTAATATAGAGAAATACAAACAGTATTCTATGTTATTACCTTGGCAAAAGAAAACTTCTTATGATAGGTCTCTTAACCAGCATTACAGTTTTGGTCACATCAATCACTGTCACAGTTTTTGAGAAAGTTGGTCCTGGCACGAGTCTTCCAGAACCATAGTTTTTACTTTCTTGTGGAGAATTAAATTTAGAATCAAGTGTTGTATGCCGGTGTGGCATGAATAAGGTTTTAGGGGTTTTCTGGTCATGCTTTGCGGTTTTTTTACCCATAGAATTTTCTGTTTGGGATGAGGCTTATCAGGTGGAAATTTTTCACCTGGAGGCATGCCCTTTCCTTCCTCAGAGAGAGAGGAGGAGGAACGAAGCACCCAGACACATCCTGTACAACCATTTTCACCACCTTCTTTGCTGTTGTTTCTGGGTATTGTTTCCCTACCCTTTTTCTCTGGCTTTCTCACCATCTTTTACTGTCAACTTTATCAACATAATTCTACTCTCTTATCCGATTGAATATAACGTCGTACGGTCAACAGAATTGCACAGGTGTCAGCTCGGTCAATCACACCTTCCCAATTGCGGAAGACAACAGAGACGCTTCCACACGGGTAGTGAGAGATCGGTGGGTTAGGGTTATAGGCTGTCCTCATAGCAAATGAGCAGCGAGTAAATTATCATACTTTGCGACTCCACATGTATCCGGGAATCTTTACACGCTTTATCTCATAGATTGTAGTGGGGTGCGCCAGAGGAGTGGACACTAATCAAAATGGGACCCTTACGAAGCCCACTAAAACATTTTGCCTAGCATGATATTTATACCGTTTGGGAATGTAGATTGATACCTGAGACCTAAACCCTAGTTAATATATGTCCTGGTAACCTAGTGAGCAAAACTAGGTATGCGCTAAAAGTGGCCCACTCTCCAAAGAGAATGCGGTTTTGGATACAGTATCATATGAGGGTAAGGTTCTAGAAGCACTACTCGAGTACCGGTATTTACCGTCTTGTAGTCACGCTAATGCATGAACACCCCTGCTCTCCAGAAGGCTAAAAGTGGGTCACTTTTTCAATAGACTACCGGTGTGGAGGACTCTCCTGAGCCTCCCTATATTGGATGGTGTGCCCGACCGAGTAGAGCCCCCCGTATTATCCCGTGAATGCACCCTCGGATAAATTGAGGCTTAACGGAATTCAGAAGTGCTCCAATAATATGCGGTATAATTTCGACGATAGGAAGAAGCAAAAATATAAAACAAAAGGTAATTTTTCTATAGGGGTGGGGTGGTTGTTTTTCCTCTGTCCTCCTCCGTGGTTGCCATCTATCCTAAGAACAAAAAGAAAGTCACACCTCCACTGTGCAGAACTGTGGGCTAAGCTATCCTCCTAACCACCTAGTCTGGCGCACACAAATACCAGAAGAAACACCGTCTCCAGACCCTAAAACCTATACCCCCTTCACACCGGTACCGTAAAATCCGGTATAATTGGCTAGCTCCGGCGTAGGGGTTAATGTCCGTGCTCAAAAACAAAACCCCCCAGGAAGGATTAGTGCTTTCCACAAGAAAGCTGGAGTGTTCTGAGTGTGTTGGATTTCACTAACCAGTACCAAATACCGGTATGGTAACCTGCCAATCTAAACTTATTGTGGGTTGACGGATATTAGTCCCTGTTTCAGAGCTAGCCAGTTTTCCGGGACTTTATGGTATGGGATGAACGGTACAGTACCTGTGCTCCAGTACTGGTATGCCTCGAAAACCCTAAGATTACCGGATACTTGTACCCTTGGAATCGCTAAGCAGTTATTACTTGGCCATTTAAAAAGTATTCGGACACTTAGCACCCAGACACGTGTTAATAATGCCGGGATGTTCGAATACTTTATAGATGGCCAAGTAGTCCAGTAAAGACCTCATTGAAGTTAAACACTCAATTCATGTCATATTTTAAACTCACAGTTTCCTTTCAGTACAGTCACACCTCGCTATCCCGGATCTCGATAATCCGGATACCTCGCTGTCCCGTATGAATCTCGGTGAACTCTGGGTTTCTTTCCACCAAAACCTCACCCGTTGTCCCGGATCCCTCGCTGTACCGGACAGATTCCTCGGATTTTGGCCATCCGGGATAGCGAGGTGCGACTGTACTGAAAACGCCTCCTGATCTGAAAAGGTGATTTGGGAGGGAATCCCGATTTTAATTCGTACAAGCGGCGCCCCAAACGCCCTGTCGGTACTAGATAGGGACCGCAATCAGCAAAACAAGACTAGCACTAATACAAGTACCTGGTAGAATGCAGGGGCAACAAACGCTACTGCAAGCCTGACTACCCCACGCGTTATAGCCACGTACCCCGTAATCGCACATTCAACCTGCATGCTCTGTCAGTGGTAGCAGTGGAGGGTGCAGTGAATGAGTCTGGCACTGTAACATTGAGTCTTACCACTTTGTCCGGGAAACGAAAATGATCGAACAGCCGGAGCACCACAAGCAGATATTCTGTTGCCTACTATGCGACATTCTCTTTCCGTTCGTAGGTTGGCCCGGACCTATTTGGCCTGATTATTTCAATAGCGATGTCCATTTGAGCAGGTCAACTTCTAACCCAACTTCTAGCAACGGTATTGCAAAATTTCGACACGCGCCCACAATCGATACTCAGCTGACGAGGTTTTCAAAATGGCTGACTGGGCTTAGCACTAGCCATGCCAAGGTTGATGCCACTGCAAAGGGCGCTAACCAAAGTTGATGGCACCCCCGTGGGTGTGTCCAACAGCTCAGTTTGCTGATATTCGATAGGAAATAGAGGCTGCCCAGCACCGGTTTTATTACCTAAGAGCTTATATGATTCATGGGGGGTTCATATGCTTCTCCATGATACTCAAACAATTTTATTATACTTTATCTTACTCATTTTTGACATTCGTTTTTTCCTCAACATCCAATATTGAATAGCAAGGTACAGGCCTCGGGGCGCACATTGGACGCTAGACTACATAGAGAAGACGGCTGAAAAAAAGGGCCAAAACACGGAAAAACGAAATATCAAACTAGCGAAGTATAGTGGAGAGAGGGGGGAACAAGATCCGTGGATTTTAGAAGCTTGTAATTGGAGAAATTGGTGGTTTGTTGCATAAATTTACTGTGGCATACCAGTAAATTTTGTTCGTTGAGCCGCGGAGCACAGGATTAGGAATGTAGTCAACTTGGATGGCTGCTTAGCGTCCTTGGCTGTGGCGGGCGCCTTGACCTACCGGTAGTGATATCGTCGAAAAACCCCTATTGGTGGTCAGGGTGGGGGGGCTGGAAGGCTAAGCAGGATGGTATCGTAGGTTTTATCAACTCAAGATGCGCAAGGTATTATATGATTACAAACCTAGCACTTTTTCCTCAGCCTGTAGATGGCACTTCAGGGAGCTGGGAACCCTCAGCACCAGTATCATACCCCTCTCCCAATATCACGACTAGTCCCTTCAGGAAAACTATTCTCCCCGCGCTATTCCTCCTCCTTCCAATCCTAACCATGGTTACGGAGGCATACCCCTCTTCTACTATCGGGGCTAAATTTGTCCCTTCAGGGAAGGTTATGCTACTCATGCTATTCCTCCTCCTTCCAATACCAACTGTGAGTGCCGAGGAAAACATTTATCACTGCGGTGACCGCGTCAAGGCACTGGCAAAAAACGGTTCCCTTCCGCCCGGGGATATCTACACTGGCCCTGTAAGAGGTCTTCTGAGTAAGGCGCAGGGCACCGGAGATCAGGTACTCCTCTTGACGGTTGCCGCCTGTGAGAAGCACTGCGGTAGTGCATCGACATTGAACCGGTGGGGAACAAGCTCGGATACAATCACGACATGGGTACTCCCTCTGGTGAGCCTGCTTCTGCAGGCTCCCTTCGAGAGCAACAACTTCCAGCAGACTATGCTTCTCGCCTTCCGCTGGGTGGGCTCGCCGATTGTTTCCATGATGTATATTTTTTGGAACCTCAGGGTTACCAGGAAGTGCGCTATTATGGTTGACATGGGTATCGGGAGAGACGGGCACCCTCGGGGACGACGCGGTTCTTCCGGATTGCGAGACTCGTTCTACCTCCTCAGCGTGATCAACCAATACCAACTCCGTGTCGACGCACAGCGAAATCTCGACCGACAGCTACATGACCACCGCACGGAGTATATCCTTCTCGTAGGCCTGTTCGACATGAAGCCTAGATTTCGAAAAATGAGGGCCAAAGTCGCCGCAAGCATCCGCCGGGAACGCCGTCGGGGAACGGTCCTGGCCCTGGTGTCACTAGGATGGTTCCTGGTTGCACTGGGAATCTCGGTTGACAAGGCTTTCGGGGTCCTGGGCGAGGACTCATCCGCTTCCAATCTCGCGCTGGGCCTACTAGTGTGCTGGCTCCCGGTTCTCGTCGCCGGGGCAATCGTCGACCGAAACCCAATGGACGCCCACTACGTTCGCTATAGGTTGAACGAGTGCCTCCGAAGAATTGTAGTGATCAGAAATATCCCCGACCTACCCCCGGAAGTCACTGGGGAAGGCGTTTTAGGAGAGTTTGCAGGCCAAGGACGAGTCCACTGGCACCGCGGTGCGGCCCTCTCAATTCTCTGCATGCTGGAGGCTCCGCCCAATATGGGGCGCGGATGGTTAGCTAGATATGAAAACGACGACGAACAGGTGATCCCAAGAAGGCATCCTCTCTTGACATGCTTGGGATGCCACCATAGCCAAGGATGGCAGATGATAGCCTCCAGCCAAGGATGGCAGATTATAGCCTCCTTCGTGTTGATCTGCTCCTGCATTATTGGTGCCTTTATCCTTAGCTACTTTACGCCGACCGTCGGCATGGGCTGCCGATCCGCGGGCTACATGATCTTTGGCCTCAACTCCTTTGGATGCCTATTTATAGAAATGGGTGCATGGGTATTCCTATGGCCGGGCAGGGAACGGGGGGTAGTGCAGCGGGTCCTGCGCTTTTGCGAATTCACAAACTTCTGGTGGCTCGTGTACATCATCACCGCGCAGACACTTGGGACATACAATAACTGCCGCTGCAAGTCGAGTATTTGGGGCGGTGGCGGCGGGTATATGGACTTTGAGAGCGTGGAATATTACAAGGCCTTCCACCTTGAGCACAGCTGGCTCGTGGGTACACTCATCACATGCGTGGTGTCGGGCATCGGAATTCTGTACATTGTGGAGCAGTGGTGCTCCCAGAGCTTCCTGTGGACGCAAGATTGGGACTCGGCTATGAATGGACTTTTGTGGATGAGGAGGTGGAGGCAGGCCACCGCCGGGCCTAGGTGGGTGTGCGCCCTGGTATCCAAGTGCATGGTGGGGGCTGGGCGCTGGGTTAGTACTCTTCCGGGGCGGGAGAGGGGTGTGAAGGATCATAGTTAGTGTTGGAGTTCGTGAACTTTTGCTTTCTTATTATATTAGAGCCTTCTTTAACTCGCCAATAATTGATATGGTACAAAGCGTACCAAACCAGGGCCAAGGCCACTGCGTCATGTAATGCCTCCTATTTAGGAGGGTATAGGGTTATAAATTCTAAAAAGATATTTAACAGGTTTTATATCCAATTCCTACCATTGTTCAAGCTTTTATAGTGTTCTCTCAATTATGGTAGCACTATTTCTCCCAGATCTTAATGTTAAAATTGGAAGGTTAAACTTAAAACTATGAAAAAAAAAAGTCCTGCACCACAGTCGATTGAACCTCTACACTCCCGATAGATTTTTATATTTGAGAACCCCCTACCCTCCTAAATAGGAGGCGTTACCGGGTGCAACGGACTTGGCCCTAGTTTGGTACGCTTTGCACGACAAAACACTACCTTTCCCCGAAAATGTGCTAAGCGGTCCTCAGCATGCCACCAAAATCTTGGTTTTCTACCCTTTTGGTGAAGGACTTAAACTAGCAGGACTAGACATTCACTTAGCAAAACTCCGACCAGGATAATTGGGCTCCATAAACCGTCCAGTGCAAGAACCCCCCCCATCCCTAATCCCCCGGTAACCTTTGCGAATTCGTTTCCGAAACTCTGCGGTACCGTAATGAAGCCCGTACCCCTATCCACCCTAGATTCCCGTTCGCCCAAAACAACACCGGCTCACCGCAGAAGTAGAGCTGGGTCACGGCAGGGAGAACCTTTCCCCGGAACTCCCGAGGGACGCTTGCAATTCTTCGTCACTTGATACTTTTCAGAGGATCCCGCTGTCCCGGAAGCGCCCCTTTTGTTTTCATATCGGCGCCCCTTGTAAATTTCACAGACCGGGTATGCTTGTCATGTTATATCGCCCGTCCAGTATTAATTTTCTGGATATGATATATTATATCCCAGGTGCTTCAATCGCGTAAGGTGTGCTCTCCAGTATGCTAGTGACACCGTGGGGGGTAAAAAGAGGGGGGAGAGGTGTTTGTGCTCTCTTAACTAGTTTGAAGCTGATAGATTTCCCGATAGAATACCGGTAGGGCGGGACAGCAAACTGAGCCAAACGCCTGATGCTAGACGTGCACTCGCGGCTAGTGTAAATGAAGAAAAACCACGCTATTGCTCTAGGCAAATGGCATGGGTGTCATGACCGCTGCCCACATGCCTCATAACCAGATATGATACTCCACGCTGGCGGGCGATCCGAGACAACCACCCTCTGAAAGCCAACTTGACTCCAGTTGCTGAAACATGCCTCAGAATTATCGACACAACGCGTCTTTCGAACCGCTGTCAATAGGCTTGTGATATTTGAGTGGGCATTACCGGTGACTAAATTTTTTGCACTACAGGGGTCCGCTAAGTTAAGGAAACAAAACCAACGTGGTTTACCTGCCACTAGCGGTAGTGCATGTACCTCGAAAAAAATACGGAATGGTTGATTTACCGGTAGGTTAACCTGCAGCATACCCCTTCTTGCGCAAAGACATTCTCCCCGGGCACTGGAGCATTGAAATTAAGTTGCGAAACATCCATGCACACAAATAAGTCTCCTTTTTAGGCCGGAAAAAGCTACCGGTAAACCAAGGACCCGCTTACCTAACAGTTCCGTTACGGAAATTTGTATGGTGGGCCGGAACGGTACCGTCAGCTCAGGGTTGTATAGCAACTGACGGTGCCAAACTTGTTTACCTAATTTTCAACCGTCAAGAATTTTGGGTGCTTGACGGTCAGAATGAAAAGGTGCTCCAGAGGTGTGGTATCATAGCAACACCGTCAGCCTCAAAAATTGATGCATTGTCACTATGCCTCTGGCCAGTTATACCCACAATAGCCATACCACCACTGCCAATCCTCTGCTTTCTTTGTTCCGGTAGTTCTACGATAAATATATCAGAATTGAAACCATTGCCGACTATCATTCAGGTTTTTGTTTAGCATGGTACTATGAGAGATTTGAGCTATGATGTCAAAACAACTAAAAAAGTGCTATAAGAATAGGTGGAAGGATTCTTGAAGAGTCATTGCAGGTGGTATGTGGGGGATATAGGCTAGGTCCAATATTTTACTTGGTCGGCAGTGCTTGAAAGGGGGGGGAGTTGGGAATTGTGAGTTCAAAAGCCCTCATCTTGTATTTTGTAAAAATTTTGATGCACTCTCTGACGGTAAGGCCCATATTGCAGTATGGTAGACGGTGCATTAGGTAAACACAGAATGAGAATTTAGCCCCTAACGCTAACAACGATTAAGACCCTCTTGACGGTTGCCACCGTCAACAAATGCTAAACGGTCAGCTGTAGACCGTGGGAACCCTCAGCGAGGCGGCACCCTCAGCGACGTGCGGCATGGCTTGGCATCTAGAATAGTTAGTAAAGTAGGTTTCGTCACTAAACGACAAGAGTATGTCACAAAATTAGACATACCATTCTACCATATCTCATTGATACAAATACTTCAATTATGCCTTCGAACCCTTCGAGAGACTGTGGGATTCCGGTATGGGTACGGGAACAAATGGCAATTGAGATAGCTACAGCTGGGACGGCTCCAAGTTTGACAATTGCTGTGGTGATGGTTGGAGCAGCTCCGAGTACCTTGATGCATCGCCAACAAGGAAGAAAAGACCGTGAAGAGGAGGGTCAACGGAGGCAGAAGCTTCTGCCTGAAGAGGAGAGAATAGTGATAGAGAGGTGCTATTTTCAGTGTCGTCTTGGATTCCGGCCAACGATTTGGCAGTTGTGTGAAATTGCAACCTCTGTTGTACAGAGGAGGAAGCCAAATGAGGTTTTAGGAAAGAGATGGGAAGCTGCTTTCAAAAAACGACACCCAGAAGGTAAGACTCGGTTCAGCAAACAGTTGGATTTTATTCGTAACATACGTGAAAACAATCTTCAATTAATAAATCATTTCTTTGATAAGGTATTTCTCTAGTTAAACCTGTTTTTATTTTTATTTCTATATTTTATCTCAATGATTATTATTTTTTCTTTTTATTATTGAAGTTTAAATATTTATATTATTTGATTTTAATTCTATATAAGTACTAATTGTATCTGTATTTATTAAGTTAGGAGCTATTGTACATGAGTATGAAATAAAACCTCATAATATGGTGTAACGGACGGGGTCTGAGGGTCAGGTAGCCCAAGGCACACCACGGAACAGGGACAGGCAAGAGTGTGGCGATGAGGGTCGGGGACAGGTGTACAACCGAGGCGAGCTGTACGAAGTTCAGGGGGTCAGGGGGTTCAGGGTCAGGGTTCAGGAGTTACAGAGGACGCGAAGTAGAACAGAGTGTAATCCCTAGGTAGAGGTGTCTGAAGGAGATTACCAGATTGCGTGAAGAAGAGAAAATATAAGGGGGTTTTGTTTTTTGTTTGACTCATTTTATTATTTGTTTATGGGACAAATAGGCATATGGAGCGCTAGCTATGACGCCTAAAAAACCGCCCCCCCCCCGGACCAGGCCGAACGACAGAGCTAAAAAAACCCTCTGGGGTAGAAAAAACTACTCCCGCCTGAAATCCTTCCCGTAAACTACGAACCAATAACCCCCACGGCCAAGCGACAAAAAGAAAGCTAGCT